ACCAAGAAAACAACCTCTCAACATGATACTGCCATTATATTTTGTGCAAAACAGGCTCCTTTAAGTAGTATTTTGAAAGTTGGCCAATAAATTTAATTTCACTCTCATTTGGCCAACTTCTTTGTTGTGTCTTCTGCAGGGGTGAAAACAGGATTCAATATATCTTTATTTAGTTAAATGCAAATTCATACTTAAAAAAAAAAACATAAAAACCATGTATCACTTCCCTTCCAGTGCATAATTATCTTTTTTGTGTTGGTTGATCACATTAAGTCCCCAAAATACACTGATTCATAAAGGTAAATGGTTGTAAATGTGGAAAAAGGGTGTCAATACTTTTGCGAGACACTGTAAATGCCTGGTGGCACTTAAGATAATAATATTGACCCAAGACCTCCCAATAACAGCATATTCTCTGGTACCATAAGCCCGAAATGATAACAAGATTAGCACTCGAAGTAAATCACTGTGATTGAAGCTTTAAACGTCCCCCTTCACCAGCAGTTGATAAATAGTGGAGAGCCGACTGGCACATCTGCCTGGCTGCCTGCATTGCTCCTTCAGTGATCTCCTGCACCGGGGAATCAATGGGAGATCCATCATTGGCAGAGAAGCACACAGTCCAGAGAAGGAGAGCAAATCACTTCCATAAGAGATAGCAGCTATCAGGGAAATGGGCAGAAAATGGTTCCTAATGGTGCCTGGTTTGCCTGGCTCGAACTGCAGCCAGCCTCTCCAGTCGTCCATCACCCTGAAGCATATGTAACAGAAAGATTGGAGACTGTGAAGGAGGAGAAGTAAGCGAGGAAGGCATCTGTTCATTCAGCGTGGGAACCCCTCAGGGGGGCAACACAATAATTTGAGTTCATGTCAAATCAGATCTTCTGAATGTGCCTCCGGATCTCGATGTGTCACTTAGTCTGTTTGTCAACCAGGAGGGGAGTCACTCCGCAGGCACCGACCGGAGTGTCAGCCCGACGACTCCGTGTTATGAAACTGCTCTCTCATTTTCAGTCAGCTTTGTCAAAATAAATAAATAAATAAAAATCCCGGCTCCAACCTGTCTCCAGACTCTCCTGGCAAACACCAGTTGAGTGGCTTTTCACGGTGAGACGTTAGTAATCACAACAAGACATTTGGCGGAGACGAGTTTTCGGGTTGAGTCATGGGTTTGATGCCGACAGTTGGTGCTGAGTAAACACACAGACTTTTAGTTTTTGGATTTGACCGTTTAAATCATCCTTTTTCTTGTCCAGACTGCTGTGTTCCCAGAAACAGTAATCACATTCACTATTAATGAGCCATGATGCTCATTCCAGACCCATTTACTCTTCTTAATAATGCATAGTCTTTGGAATTGCCTGTGCATATTTTACTCAACGGCACCTCCTCCTCCAGAGTGATGCCGGTGATGTTTTGGTTGTGCTTAACGCTCATCATGGTTTCTTTTTTTTTTATGTGTTCTCCTAGGAACAATGTCTCCCAGAGAAATGATGTCTCATGTGTGACTATGACTAACACCTCCTGCTGGGCTGGAGATAATGAAACATTGCTAGTGGAAGGTGCTAACTCACTTGTTGAAGGAGCTCAGTTTTCCCATTACTCCCCTCGAACTGGGCCAGTAAAAGGCTCTTCAGCTCCCTGAAGTGAGTGCAATGATCTCTCTAAATAAAGCAATTGACCGCAAATTGTACACATCAGCGCTCCGACGTAATTTTTCTCCACAACACGATTGCCGTTAACGACAGTCAGCTATGTTATCAGACGCCATGTTGGTGGAGGTTAACCATGGAAATCCCATTAAGGAACGAAAAGTCTAAATTAGCAACACTAAAATGAAACCTTGATCTACAGACCCTTTAGAAGTTGTCATTTAGACATGTTTCAGAACAATTGTGAACACATGGAAGACAAAATAGATGACAGCGCAAAAGAAAAGTGGTAGATAAGTGGTATCTGAAAGTCAGGTCTATAATAAATAGAAAAACATACAGTATGTTACTCTGTCAGCTAATGGACCATTAATTGCCAGTCTTTGTGTTTTGTAATGCTTTTCTTTTTATGTTGGTGTTTAAATGCTATTTTTGACTTCCCAGTATGAACATTTTTGTTCCAGATATTGTTCAGAATCATGTAAGATTAGGTATCTGCCTATATGGTCAACTTCTCCACAGTAGCAGCAAGCTTTCTTGTTTGCCACAATGTTGACTCCTAGTCTAACATAAAACATGATCAGTGTTATATGCTTTAAATCTCAGTATATTGCTCTAAATCTCAGTATACTGACAATGTTTTCATGCGTAGCAGCTCGCTGAAGTGTTTGGCTAACGTTAGCATGTCTCCTTTCTGTTATATGACAGGCAGTAGATTCAGTAATAACATATCTCATGTGACTCAAATTGTTTCTGTACAGAACAAAATGCATAAATAGCGGTTCTCTTGCTTCATTAATTGAGCAATTCAAAAGTTGTAAAATTTAACAACTTGCATCTCAGCTGCTCTCCACTACAGTAGCAGCTGTTGGGACCAGCGGAGGTTTGTAGAGAAGTACCTTCCTTTGGCAGCACTCTGGCAGCCTTCCCCCACAAAACAACTTGGAACTGAAAGACTACATCCATCAGTATGACACTAGGTATTGGACCTCATAAAAATCAATTAGGTATCCAATAATCAGAGTAGAATAACTCAGTCCGGGTTTGACCAGTCTGTGTATATATATACAGTTCTATATAGGACTTTTTATGTTCGTCTCAATGTCAGGTAACCCTAAAACAAACAAGCAAAAAAGCTTAAGAGACTCTTTCAAAACAGAATAGAATAACGCTTCCACTAAACTTTAACTATGTTTGAAAAATCTATTTTTAATGATAAATAACCCAAATTGCATTTGACCTGTCTGAGTGTCACAAATCATCAATTGCAGTGTGGAAGAGCCTTTTATGTAGGGCTGCACACCAGATACCACATTTAGCACCATAATTTGAAGTGAAAAAGGACAGTTTTGTTTTGGTTGTTTGGATTATTGGTTTTTCCTCAGATGCTTTTGTTGAAAAAAGAAAAGGCACATTACAAAATTATTCCTACTGCTGCAAAAATAACTACATAAACATGTTGACGTTTACAGTTGTGATAATGGCTTCTGTATTTATTGTGATTTTGATGCATAGACCTAAGCCAAAAACAAAGAATAAACACAGGCTAACATTAGCAGTAGTCTTCAAGTGTCTCAATACGCATACTTTTACACCTATTTGCCATTCTGTCTTTTATAGAGTAAAACAAGCTGATATTAGCTAGTTAATTACGTCTAATGAGGGCAATTAGGCCACTGGATCATATAGAGGCTGCAATCAGAAATGATTCTAATAGTAGATGGAGAGGAGTGCAGTGCTCTGTTAATTTCTCTAATTAAACTTTTTAACACATTGATGTGTCTTCAGTTGGTTTTAGTCAGGCAGTCAGATATTGATCATTTAAAAATGTTTTGATAGGAACCCAATTGGGACATCTCTAATTTTACGTATTTGTTCACTCATAATTCTTTGCAGAGACACAACAGAAGATCCATTCTTACAAGTGTGGAGCAACTCAACCAAAGAACCCAGCCCAGTTGACAAACTCAGTTGGTCAAGTACTGAGCTGACGGCAACGACAATTTAGAGAAAAATTGGCACCTTCAAAAAGCTTGAAAACATAAACCTCACTCATCCTGAGCAAAATGTAAAGACGCGAGGAATGACCCCAGAATGTATTCTATCAAAGATTATGAGCTGTGATGGTAGTTGCCTTCAGTGTTCCCCAGAAACATGACAGCACCTTTCAGCTGTCAGCATGAGGCAGGACAGTAAGCTGAATAGAGCGCGGGGTCATGAGGTGATGCCAGGGGGGGGAGTGGCCACCCAGGGGCCTGGAGACACATTACAGGGGTTAGAAAGTGGGTCAGGCTCATGCGCTTTGGTGAAGGGAACCATGCGGTTTTGATGTTGCCGCAGGGTAACTCTGCTATGCTTGTCGTCTGACCTCCAGTTGAGGTCTCTCACCCCGTTGCAACCTCCTCCCCATGCTCACAATCTCAGAGAAGGTGTGCAGAATACCTAAGAGGCTGCAGAGCCGCCTCACAAAAGGCAGCTATTTTCTGCCTCCCCTGCTCTACATTCTGTCTTGTCTCTCTCTAAATCTCTGAGTTATCTTCTCCACACTCTTGCTTCTTCATCCACAACCCCTGTGCCTCAGCCTCCCACCCTCCTCCCTGTATTTGTTTCACAAAACCTTCCATTTATGCCTCTCCACACTGTCTCTGCTCCAGAAAAGCATCTATTATTAACAAACACCTTCAGCTCCCGCCAACAAGCTAAACCAAGGCCTGGTCCAAGCTCCTTGGCATTTTAATCACCTGTAATGAGCACCCAAATGATGAATGCATCCAGTTCAGATGACGGGAATTAATTCATGTCTCACACTTGCAGTCTAGGCAGCTGATCCTGAAAGGTTTTCCCTGGGAAAAAAGAGAGAGAAAAAGCCAGCAAGCAATCGGTCTTAAAGATCTTGTTCTACCTCAATCCCGCCACTGTAGACTTACAATTAGCTGTGTACGGGTTCCCACTGAGGGAGGCTGCGTTTAACCTCTTCTGCCGCAGGTTTCCGCAGTGGCTGCAGGCTTCAGAGAGGAGCAGACACGCCGCAGTTAGATGAGCAAGGAGATCTGTGAGCAAGCAGAGTGTCCCCCGTGACTGGCGAGGTCTCTTTTCATCATCTGCCTCCCTGCGCTCTCTGAACAAACACTGGAGCTCGGGGATTTGTCAGAGGTCCGCCACTTGCAGAGAGACGGGAATTAAGCAACTGCAAGACGACAGAAAATCCCCAAATTGCAACCACTTCTGCAAGATGAGGTGTGCAGGAACAAAGAGAGCTCTATAGCTATTCACTAATTTGATACGCGGAGCTCACAGGAAAGCTGGAAAAGAGATAAATAATTCCCCCCCCCCTTTTTTTTTGTTTTATCACTGATTTATTTGTACTGGTAAACATCAAACAGAAACAACAACAAAATCAAGAGCAGTCGGCCTCCAGTTCTCATGATTCTCCCTTTCTCTCTTGCATCGACAAAGTTAATTTACAATGGTTGTTGTCGGCGTGACAAGATAAACGTCTGCGAGTATAAAATATGGAAATGAGCCGTTCCTCTGGATCTCACCCACACGTAATATCAGATTAGTTGCAGCACCTGTCATGCCACCGGAGATGGTTCAGGTTGCCACTCAAATCAGTCGTGACAGGAATCCTATTTGAGCGGAGTCTTTATGTAATTACGAGATAAAAATGTATCGATTCAAACCGGACGGCAGTATTGGGCTGAGTCGACTTGTGCCACAAGAAAGGAAAACACAGGATAAAGAACTGCTGCATTGTGCTGGATCTGGGAGTGTTGGGATGAGGAGCCGGAGCGCTCTCTTGTCTACTACATTCTGTTCCCGCATCTCCGGGATGTGAAGCACATTCCTAATCTCTTGCAAAGTCTCGACGTTCAAAGTCTTCAGAGATGCCGTCACCTCAGGTTAGAGGCGGTGTAATACCATCACACAAGCCCCCTGTGTGATGCTCTCCTTATTATACAGTATGTTCAGGTTACTGCATTCACAACCACATGAACACTTATGGTTGCACTGAGATATATGGTATCTCACAGAACTAAACATTTTTGTACATGGCATTGTTTTTATACATCGTTGTGCCTTTCATTGAAGTTGATATAAAGAAGACTCTGATAGGTTATATGGTAGAAAAACAATGTGAACAATCTCCCTTGACCCCCTGTGTGCCTGCCTTCCTCACGTTCCCCTCAGAGGAATGTCCAAACAAGGAAGAAAATTCTCAGTATGTTCCACAGCAGACTTCCCAACCCAATCCGAGGAAAGCCGAGGACGCACAGGTTGTGAAGTTGAAATCATAAAGTGCTCTCCAGCAGCCACTCAGACCTGGATAGTTTGTCCCTGGCTCGATGAATGTTTGTTGTGCTCTTGAGCTGCGGAAGCTCTCCGCTCATCGACAGGCTGCGCTTGGAGCGCAGGCCGGCCCCGACTTTGGGGTAGGCTACGTAGCAGCGCTCGCTGTACGACGAGTCTGCATTAAGCGAGTGCCTGCGGTTCACTCTCACCGCTCCTGCAGGGACAGTCATATAATGTCGGGAGGCTTGGTGGGGTCGCGGGACTCTTGGAGCAGTAGTCCATTTCTGGGGTTGACCGGGCCCTGGGGGAGCGGTGGAGACGGCAGTGGCTGTTTTGACCTCTGAAGAGTTATTGCGGTTCGTGTTGTTGAGCTCAATGTCCGTCTGAGCTTCAGCCCGCCGGCCCTCCGAGGGTTTCGGTGGAGCGCTGGAACGCTTGGGCCTCGGCGCTCCTGGGGAAGCCGGGTGCCAACTATGGCTGCCAGCAGAGGTAGACACCGTGCAGTCAGGAACAGAAGGTTTTGTGCTGGGCACGGACACGGGAGGTCGTTGCTTGGTTGGCTCTGGAGGCGGGAGGGCGACTCTGACGCATTCCTTGTCGTTCTTCTCTGGACGGAGAACCTGTTTAGAGAGGGACTTGGGGATGCCACAGCCCTGTAGCTGTCCATCGCTGCTCAGCGATCGAATATCCCCCATCTCCAGGGCCTGGTCCGACATGAGATAAACACAAGAGAGAAGGGAAAAACAATGGCACATTTAGTAGACTCCCACATTTTAAAAGCACTACAGTATCTTGCTCTTTGACCAGATCAGCCATTTAACCAGCTGCTCTGGTCAAAGGGATGCCTTGCAAATGTGCTTTTATGATTTGTCTTTTCCACATTTTCTTGCACTGCAGCCACAAGCAGGTGCTTCATAGGGACTTTATATCACAAACCAACATAAAGTGCCCATGAGGACACCCATGAGAACACCGGTGTCCACATGGGACCATTGACATCTAAACATTTTGAAGGTGAAAGTCAAGAGGGTTGAATCAGGGTCAGGTATTCCAGGCTTTGAACATCTCACACACCTAAAGAGAAAAGCCTGACAAGTAGAGCATCAGTCAGAGTTGACCTAACTCCATTTGCAACAGAAATTTAACATTGCATTTTCGACCACAATCAAGCAACATTCATAACAACATTCATTGTTATGAATGTTGCAAATATATCAAATGTAACTTCGTAATATGACGCCTTGAAATTGGTCCTTTGTCCCTTGAAAGACGGCTCTTTCAGGAAGTCATGTAGGGAATTGTTAAACCTAATCAACAGCCTTACTCACCTTGTCTGCATCCCCTTGGTTACACACTCGGTAACGCACAATGAGGAAGATGATGAAGGCGAGCACGGACGCCACGATAATCCCTCCAATGATGACCACGATGGTCCCGCCGAGGAACTGCGACTGCATGAAGTGGCACCGCAGGTACTGCGGCTCGGTGGTGAAGTGGACGCAGCCTATCACCCTGGTGGCGGTCAGCGAGGTGACCTGGTCGTCGTAGATGGCCAGGACGCACAGATCGTACTGCGTACCAGCCGCCAAGTTGTTCACCAGAATGTTCTTGCTGGTTGGGGGGATCATTCTGCAAAGGGGAGCAGACAGATTATTAATCCTACTGTTGTTTTGGATGAAATGACTCTCACAGGGCTACTCAAGATCTTTCTAAGCAAAATCTGTTATTTGACATATGACTTATTCTTTCATCAGTATCACTGGTAAAAACCTGCTTGGAAGCGGAGTACGACTGTTTGTTTAGCAGCCACTGCTGAAAGACCATATGCAATGCTGACCCTTATGTTTATTTTGAAAAAAAAAAAAAGAGTTGGTGCAATGATCTCATCGTATCTCAGTGACTTACAGTAAATCTGGAGTGAAAGCAGGCAGGGAGGAGAGAAAGCTGGGTGTTCTGCGTCTTCAGATAAGCCCACATGAAGCATCTGATGCTCTTTATGAAACAATAGAAGACGGCTCTTTCATCTCCCCATGGGTCTGCAGCTTAATGCTGACATTCTGTTTTTATTTTGTTGATTAGGCATTATCAAGGCCTTGCATATAGTAAATAATACACAAGGGGGATTAGAGTCAACGGAGATAAATTCATGCGCAGTGCATTAGTCTTCCTGTCTTCCTGATGGGATTGAGTGATTTGGCGAACGATGCAAACAGTCGGGTCCGGCTTTTAATGATTTAACAGCCAAAGACGCTCAGGCATTCGTAGCTCAATGTGAACATTAGGAAATGAAATAACCCCAACCCTATGACTGCACAGAAAACATTCTACACCTTCTGTGACCTCGTATCAAGTTCAATGTTTCTGCTCACCTGTACACCAGCGAGTCGTCGTATGTGCCGTTGTACTGGATCTGAAACATGCGGATTCCAGGGATGCTCCTGTGGAAGTTGAACTTCACCAGGGCCGAGGTGGAGGTGGCCTCGGCTATCACCACCTTCTTCTCCTGGCTCGTCTTGGCGTTCCCCAGAGGCACCCCTCCCGCCTCGGCCCCCGTCTTGGTCACTGTGGCGATGTCTGACGATCCGGGGTCGGGCTCTTGCTCAGCGATCGTGTCGTTGGTGATGTGAGGGAGTTTAGCGATGAGCAGATCCACCGTCTGGTGGGCCTCTCCGGCCGGGTTGGAGGCCACACAGGTGAAGGAACCTGAAACACAAACCGATTAGATTATCACTGCGGAGGGGTTTATGACGTCTGTGACCACAAATACCGCCTGGCAGGTATTGTTTTCTTTATGCTAAACAAAAAAAGAAAGAAAAAAACAAGAAAAAACAAACCTGCCACCTTCAGATTTTTTTAATTGCTATTCACTTACAAGCTTTTAACTTCAAATGTATCATTTTCCACAAAATTCAAAATTGGGCTAATAACATTTATGGTACTCTTCTGTTATGCTATTTGGAGAGCTATTTGTTGTTGGTTTGCATTACTTTTGCTATGGCAATGTTTTAATTACCTTCTAAAAATGTATGCAACTTTTTATCAAAGAAAAATGAATTCATCTATGACGTTGCTGCCCAAGTGTGAAGTTGTTTCGAAGCCTGTCACCACAAGCAATAAATCAATTAACCAATTAATCGCATGATAAATTAAAATGAACTTGGTGATTTCCATGTTTGAAGGGAAGGTTTGTTTATCCAGTCTTGATGATCCATTTTATTTGTAGCTTTGTTTGTGTGTGGTTTTTATTTCTGTTTTCTATTCTCTTTGGTTGTGGTGTTTTATTTTGGACATTTAAAACACCTATCAGTTCCAGTGTTAACTCTCCTTTGGGAAATTAAAGTTTATCGGTTTTTGGAGAGCAAACTTGCAACATTAAGCCGTCATCAGTATATGACTTGAAAATAGTCTCAGAACAACAATAAAATAATCTCAAAACAACAGTATTATCGTTCATAGCAATAGTTACTGGGACAGTTTAATGCACAGCAAAGTTTGTTGTTTCATAAAAGGTTTACTGTAATTATTCAATCTTTTTATTATTCTTATCAACTGACCTGTATTGGGATGTAACACATAGCGACACAGTTTAAGCGCCGAATCATCATGCAATTTATTTGAGCGAATCTGCATAAAGAGATTAACCCGGCTTGAGTTAATCTGTCACAATGCCGACAGATTTACCATCACACGCACATTTTTCCGTAGAAATGTCATAAAAATCACCTTTTGCACCAGAGGACTCTAAACGACAGCAAACCTTCCTTGCCTGGTCCAATAAAAACTAAGCAGTCTCTTTCTACGGCGCCTGGCTGTTTTTTTTTTAATGCCGTCAAAATGTGCCTGGTTTTTATCACAGTAGCAAAAGTGAATTATCGGCAGGTTTTCATTTTCGTTCTGCTAGCAGCTGCAGAGCAGGACAAGCCTGACTATCTGAGTCAGAAACAGCGCTGCATTTAACCTCACTGTGGCAACGTGAACTCACAGCTGATGGGGATTTGATAACCAGCAGATTCTCTCAACGCCGTTTCCTTTGAGCTCACTCGCATATTTAAGCTGAAACTTTAAACCGGTTGGGGAAAAAAGAGGCAGTTTAATCACACTGACTACATTTACTCTGTAATAGACTGTCTAGATGACTAGATCTTCTATACAGGAGATTAGAAATACAGTCTTCTAGACCCTGTTGTAGTCTTTCCACATGTGAGGCTGATAAATCCACACACTGTGGTCTTTGGATAACGAGAAAAGTAGCTATATTAAGGTTTTCCATCAGCCTAAATTTGACCAAACTCATTAGAATGCAGATCTGCACTATTAATTGCTTTACTTTGTATTCACATTTCATCTGGAGTATTCAAAATGAAATTTCTAACAATTGACATTAATGCACTTTTTTTTCTGAAAACATCTCCAAGCCGGAGATAACAACAGTAAAGGACTGAAACCTCCTCGGAGGTTTCGCCCTGCAGCAGATGTCAAGATAGGCATCATGATGGCAGAAAAACACAATACTCAAGGTTTACTATTATATCTCTCATAATAGAAAATAAAGCTCTTGGTGCAAAGAAAAAATAGGAATAAATCGTTTCAATCTTACATCTGGAAGATGCCAGACTGAAACAGGGGGCAAAGAGCATTGTTGTAGCATTGCTCGAGAGATACTACAGATCACTCTTCTTGTACATTATATCTATCTATCTATCTATCTATCTATCTATCTATCTATCTATCTATCTATCTATCTATCTATCTATCTATCTATCTATCTATCTATCTATCTATCTATCTATCTATCTATCTATCTATCTATCTATCTATCTATCTATCTATCTATCTATCTATCTATCTATCTATCTATCTATCTATCTATCTATCTATCTATCTATATATATATATATATATATATATATATATATATATATATATATTGACCCAGTCGCACTCAAACCTGCACACATTTACACATCCACTCTTCGCCCCACAAGAACCAGATAATCTCAACAAATGTAAATATATTCAGCATTTGAAAACACAGCATCATGTTGTGGCTTTCCCAGAACGGTGTGGTTTAATCTTCAGAATTTAGCTTTCCTATACAAGTGGGAAAGACTGCAGCTTTTTTCTTTTTTTAAATGTAATGTCAATATGTTCAGCATTGAGGACAAGACTGTTTTGTGCACGACCCAAGATTCAGGCAGTTCTTCAAACGAAAGAGAGCAATGGAAGATTATGTAAGAGCACAAGTACCTCAGCACATGTGTATTTATATCTTCAATAAAATTCTGCGTTTCGATAGTTTTTGATTTAATGTGGGATTTCAGTCAGTCAAGGCAAGAGCTGAATGTGGGGGTATGAAAACGAATTTGACTCCTGACAGGTTTCTTCTGTTTTTAGCTTATTTGTCACACTTAAATGTTTTTGGTGGTGAAGCAAATTTTATTGCAAAAATATAAACCAAATACACACAAGCAGTTTTCATTAGTGGAATGTAACTAAACTTGTGTACTGGGGGGAAAAAAAGGGAATGGCTCCTCTTGTTAAATCATGAACTAACTGTGATTAAGCTTCATTTTTAAGAACACTGAGCTCAGTTTCACAAGCCAAACAGAACTTATTATTACATCACATGCTGATGATAATTAATTTCAATATATCCTCTCTGACAACATGAAAGATCAAAAAAAAAAAGCAACATATGCTCTTAAAAACATCTCATGGGCAAAATACAAAGCAGTTGAATCTGTCCAGAAAGGGTTACAAAGCCATTCCTAAGACATTGAGATGCCAGCAAACCAAATCATTGGGGAAAACAAAAAAAAGAAGCATGAAGCACTGGTGAAGATGTCCAAAAGAGAAAAATCAAGCTAAATTACTCCAGGACCACAAAGACGACTCAGCCAGGAGTTTGCAAGACGACATAGAAATACGTCTGAAGCTCTGCAAGTTTCATTGGCTCAGCCAAAGTCTGCCACAAAATTGGAAAGGATATTGATTTCTTATTTTACTTTTAATGCTTAACCTTTTCAAAACAAGATTAAGAAAAACTAGTATTACAGTTGGGTTCTTGTTGAGGAACTTAAATAACAAGTCATCATTTGCCTCACATCTCAGGTTCACAACATGTTTTCACAAATTTCCATACTTACCCATTTGTAAAGAAGCAAATTGAGTTTATTTTATTTAATCTGAGGTGTTTCCGGTGACAACATCTGGAGGAGGAAAACACATTATTCCTGTAATTCAAACCTGTGAGATGAAATGCCTGGGAAAATGTGCAGAAAAGATTTATATTGGTGATTCTCTGGTGAGCGGTTTGTGAATACACGTCATAAGATATGCAGTTGATATCCTTACAAACTTATCTTCCCACTGTGTGTGACTGAAATGAGACAAATTTGGCGTGGACAATAAAATTGATTGGGCGGCGACGAATCAAACTAGCTGATGCATAAAAAACAAGAAAAAAAAAAAGGATTTTGTCATTAAGTTTAACTCAAGAGAAATGAGGGATCTACATTTCTGCTGCAGCGATGCCCTTCTTTTCTCCGGGGACTCTTTGTTCTCTTATCCATGTCAGCAGATTGCAAGATTATGATAAAATGAAACAAGAGTCTAGTCTTTTCAGCAGTTTTCTTCAAATAATACGCTGTTTTTAACAGAACGTAGAAAGTTTCTCTGACTTTTCAAGTTGTTGTGCAGCTTTGACAGCAGTAACTGCTGATAATTTGCTCTGCACAAGCTGTGTCTCTTTGATGGCATAAACACAGCCCACTTTTAGTCATAGAATATTTTTCTATGCTTTCTATTTTTGAATGAATCTCTGCAAGGCTCTATTTTTGTTTCCCCCCCTTTGCTTCTGCACAGTTTGAACCAAAGCAAAGTGTCTTTGAATATAATGCTGCCGGTGGTCTGATGCCAAATCCTCATCCAGTATCGAGAAACTACAGCTTGAAATGCTATTCATTTTGGCTTCTAAAATTTGTCACAATAACTTTTAAAATCTTAGTCACCATTATTCCCAACAGCTTGAGTTCTGTCATTTATCATTAATAAGTAGTCTCTATATTCACTTTGAATTGAAATGTTATTCTTAAAATCTTCCTTGTTTTACATGTAAATGACGCCTCAGTTTGGATTTGAATGCATTTTAGATTTGACAGATTTATTTTGTAAGGTAGTTCACCAGCGCTAAACTAATACGTTTACTTTTTTGTGCTTGGGGTCCTAAAATTATTTGAAGATAAAAAAATCAATACAGAAATTAAATATCAAAACAAGTTGGTAAATTTATCCTCTTACACTTTAGAGTGAAAACAATGTCTCTATAAAATGCAACTCAACATTGACTCTGATTGGCCAGTTTGAAAGATCACTGTCCAATCGTTGAAGAGTAAAGTCTGCAAAAAAAAAAAAAAAAAAGCAAACAAAACAAACATAAATCACCTGGGAAAATGTGTAGAAATTTTTTTTTTCTTGTGACTTCAGAAAGGGTCTTTATCTTCAGAAAACATCAAACAAGATGATGCTCCGTATCTCTAATGAGATGTTCCCAAACTACAAATCCTTCCCGCACACAGTGTGTTTTGCCTTCAGGATGCTCATCTGAATTGCAAAGTCATTTAAAAAAATTAAGAGTATTGTGCTTGCACATTTTCATATCAAAAGTGAAATACTAGCTCTTGTCTCTTAAGGGTCACAAAACAAAAACACAAATCTCCTCTGATTGGTCAGGTAATTGGTTAAAACTTCAAAGAGAGTTTCTACTGTAATTCTTCAGGGCTGCCAGACCAGACACTTGTGTTTCATGGCGATATGACAAAGCTTTCTAGCAGCTCAGCAGCTCTGTGTCTTTTGTTGGGACTAACTACTCCCTTCGGTGTCTAATTTGGGATTTTTAATTACATAAGCCATACAGTGTAAAACTAAAAGACAGGAGAAGCCCCACCAGGGAGGAGTCGGGTTCTTCTAAACTGGGTTATGATGTTCGCTTAAGTTGCCAGAGCAAACATGCTTGGGATCACTGTACTGTGGCAGAGACGAAGTCGCTCTTCCTTTTGCTTTTGTCGGCCTCCGCCATCTCAGCTGTGCATACTTCATCTTTGGGGCTTTTGTGTGGCGCGAGCAAACATGTCATTCCGTTCTGTCAACATCACAAGCACCGCCGCGGGGAGGGGGGTTGTAAACAGACCTGAGTCCTTGACGGTGCTGATGAGGATCTCCAGCGTGCCGTCCGTGTGGACCACGGCTCTGGAGGAGTTGGACATGAGCCGTGCGTCCGGCGCGATCCAGTGGATGATGGGGTCCGGGTCGCCCCTGGCTTTGCAGCGCAGAGTCACGCTCTGGCCCTCCAAAGCATGCAGCTCCTGAGTCAGAGGGACGCAAGGTAGAGAGGAATGCGTTATGTAAACACACACACACACACACACACACACACACACACACACACACACACACACACACACACACACACACAGAGTCGGTATTACATGTGAGTTATTGTCAGTGATGGTGCCGCTTTACTCCATTCCCCACCGCAAAACTGAACTTGAAAACTGTGATGGTTCAGAATGAAAATCTCAATTTTCTGTCGCTTTGGATAGCACAGATTTGCTGAAGAAGTTTCACTTTCAAAAGGTTCATAAGTTTTAACTTCTTCACAAACTTCAACGGATTTCATCGGGATTTCATGTGACCGACACAAAATAGCATGTCGTTGTGAAACAGGAGGATATGTGCTTTTTGAACGTTGCATTTGTCTGTCTGTCTGTCCGACTACTAGCAAATTTTTAATTTTGCCAGAGTCTCTGAATTAACTTTATATTTGGACTTTGACTAGATCTGCCGAGCCCATAAAACATTCTTGAATCTAAAACATGAGTTTAGAACAGGAATCAAATATGCAGGTCCTTGTAAGACTTTGTCAAAACCGATTACACGCATTCAACGGTTTGATTCAGGCATGTTGAATTAGAGATCACATTAAAATGTTGCAGAACGTCAGCCAATAAGGACTGAAGTCTGAGACTCTTGAGCTAAACCACTCAGTTGCATCTCTGGCTGTATGTTTCTTATTCTAGTGGAAGGTGAACCAAGTTTTCCTCCAGGATTGTTCTGTATTTAGCTCCCTCCTCAACTCTAACCAGCTTCTTTGTCCTTGTAGAATAAAAAGCATCCCCACTGCATGATTCTGCTACAACCATGTTCTCATTTTAATAAGACAAGCACGTTCTTTAAAAAAATCCTCCTTGAAAAGCCTTACAACAGACTAACACTTAGGTAAACATTTAACCAAACTCCTCCAACTGTGAAGCCAGCAGTTTCTCTGAGACTTCTCATGCTCCGGAGATTGTATTTGCTGAGACAGTTACTAGGAAGCCCGACGTGGCACCTTGGATTAGCTACAGCCATTTCTGGCTCAGAGCCTGTAACAGTAGAGTGTGTTATGTCTTAACAGTGAACAATTCAATTTGGAGATTATACCTGCGAGTGTCTGGTGATAAGAGGCGGCTCACACAGGAACTCTTCCTCTGAAACGGTCCAGAAATAACGCCCTGCTAGGTGTTGCGGGGAAGCACAGGTCTCCAGATCATCCTCCCTCTGCAGCCTCCGCAGCCACAGCAGCTCACAGTTGCACCTCAACGGGTTGCCGCCGAAGCTCAACGCGAACGACAAGGGCCCCATTATGCCGGAGGTCGCCAGCACCCCGGCTCTTTGGAAAACGGGGTCAGGAGGGAGTTTCTGCAGCTTGTTGGAGGTTACGTCCAGCCTCTTAAGCTTCTGCAGCCCAGAGAAAGTGCCCTCTGGAATCAGGCTGAGCATGTTGTGGTCCAGGTTGAGGGTATGAAGGTTGGACATCCTCTGAATGGCTATCCAAGGGGCGCTTTCCAAGTTGTTGTAGGACAAGTCCAGCTCTTCCAGCGCTGTTAGGTCGTTGAAGGCCCCACTGTGGATGTGGGTGAGCTGGTTGTTGTTGAGAATGAGGTGGTGCAGCTTGGACATGCCGCTGAAGGTGTCATTGGTGATGCGGGTCAGCCGGTTGCTGTCCAGGTGAAGAGCGCGGAGGTTCTCCAGGTCCCTGAAGGCATACGGTGCAATGGACCCGATGGTGTTGCGAGAGAGGGTCAGGTCCACCAGCTTGGTCATGTTGGCAAAGTCTTTGCGCTTAATGCTGGTGACGAAGTTGTCGCCGAGCCGCATCTCCACCGTGTGCCTGTCGATGTTGGGGGGCACGAACAGCAGCCCCTTTTTGTCACACAGTGTCGCCAGGTTGGGGTTCAGCATCTGGCAGACGCAGCGTTTGGGGCAGATCTGGACCTTGTGCGCCTTCACAGCCATGCCCAGGATGATCAGGTAGACCAGGAACGACTCCATTTTACGTGAAATCAGGTAAACAGACCTAAAAAAAAAGAGACGCAAAACAATGAAGGTGAGCTATTTCTAAGATTTATACGCAGGAAGGAAAAGGAGAGGTTTGGATTTCAGTGTTTTTCAGGTTTTCTAATTTCCTGTTGTTTCTTGTGTCTTTTTTGCTTTTCTTCCATGTTATCTACCTTCCTACCTTGACACCTTCATTCTTAAATGTGACCTTCCATGCTACCTTGCGTCCTATCTCGTTTCATTTCATGTGCCCTTCTTTTTTTTCTTCCTTGCTTGTGTCCTTCTTAGCGTCCTCATATGCCCTACCTAAGTTGTGTCCTTCCTTCTTTCCATCCTTACATCCATTATTGATTCCCTTGTTTATTCTTTTTTAACTTTCTTTCTTGTGAAATTTTGTCTCATTCCTAGTATTCGAGGAGTGAGGAATGTGATACTTGCTCCGAGTTTCCTTCCTTTGCTCCTAACTCCCTGAGTTAGTTCATTTGTTACTTTCTTCTGGGTTTCCAATCTCCCATTGCTTCTATTGTCCTTCCTCCTCTGCTTCCTTCCTTCCTTCCTTCCTTCCTTCCTTCCTTCCTTCTCTGCTTCCTGAGAAGGAAGCAGAGAAGGCTTAGTTCTATTTAAACACTCTCACCACACTCATATTTACCATTTGTGGTGAACTATTCTAATTTGAACATTAAGGACTGAGAACTGGCACATGTGTAGGAACCCCATGCTTCTGAAGCAGACCAACATGTAACCTATGGAAATATTAGTTGTGTCACCACTAACTAAGTGGATTATTTGTTTCTGGAGCGATCGCCCACATGGCGAGATAATTCCCTTTTAACTGAAGGAATTCTGCCTTGGAAAGTTGAAGCTTTTGCGCTGCATTTGGAACGCCAATGCCGCCAACTCGACGCTCTGGGAAACCAAACAGTGGGCAAGAAGTGAAGCAAGTCAACGCCTGATCAAACAAATACAGGCTGCTCAATTACACATGACGCTAATTAATCACCTGCTGACTTGTGAGTGAAACATCGTTAGTAACCTTGCATGATTCTCTCTCTTTTTTTTTTTTTTGTGGCGGCTTTCCCTTTAAGCCCCCGCTCCCCTCTACATACTTTCTGTTTTTGATATGATAATGCCAACGCTTTTATGTTTGTGTACAGAAGGATGAAAGTCTCGACTGGCAGTTTGGGGGCCTCATAAAAATTAGACCGATATCTCTCCGGATCATATCGCCAATAGGAAGGGATGATTGGGCCCAGAGCCTCGGCGAATGTGTGCTCTGCCTCGCTATTGATTTTCTCTCGCCTCTCTCTGCTGCTTCTTTTACTTATGACACAGCCGAGACGAGAGGATAAGATGAGATCCATTTGATGAATCCGGAGACGCTGTCAGGGATGTGGAATGTCATAAAACTAAGACCTTGGAGATCAGATCACAGCTTTGCAGGTGAGCCACAATGTATCAGAGCACAAGTGACACGACAAGTGATTATATTACGGAGGGTCTGGCCTTCTGGGCGACCCCAGCGGCGCACATAAAAGGTACAGCAGTTTAATCGAAAGTCCGAAAGACAATCTTTAAATACAGAGAGGAACGGCTGATTTATCATTAAAAACCTTTATCGTCAGTACCCACAATCAGTGGCGCAAAAACTGGGTGTGTAGGTTTTATGTGATGCATTGGGGCTCCCTGCCAGAGTGGGCGCCAAAATAATGGGGTGATAATTGCACCAGTAATCGTGCCTATAATGCAGAGAGAGGCCTGTGGGCCAAAACTGTCAGCTTGAAACTAAAGAAGAGAAACAAAATTTAGATTTTTTTCTTTTGTTTCCTTTTTATTTGTACTATTTTCATTAAATAAAGTCTCATTTCTGTAGGAAATGGAGCTGTAAATCAACGTAGATGTGATCAAATCTCTCAGCTTCGCCTTGTTTAAAAAAAAACTGCTGACAATGTTTCAAACCTAACATTTATTTCTAACATCTTTGGATTTGTTGTCATTTTTGACCACCTGAAACAATAAAACAACAGAATGTGGGTCCCTCTTTCTCCAGAAACTATCGGATTATTTAGCTGAGTTCACCACCAAGGTCTCACTGAATCTTTCCTCTTTTACTCACTGTGAACTTGAAGTCAAAGTGAAAGACATTATCGACAAAATATAACTCGAACTCATCTAAATTCTTTTGGGAAATCTAGTTGTTTTTTTTTTGTCCGCATCAATCTTCAGCCTCAAACTGTAAAGTCAAAGTTGTGACGCTTTTGTTTTGTGATCAAGGGCCACGAATGCCATCATGTGCCTGCATGCACCTAAGAAAGAATATCCGCGTCCCCGCCCATGGTGTCAATGTTAGCCCTCAGACAGAGCAAATAAAATTCTTGCTTCAGCGAAAAGAAACTGTCATGCCATGAAAGCAACTTCTGCACCTGAGTGGCGACGCACAGCTCGGTGTAATAACCTCGCCCCTCTGAGTGCGCTGAAAGGCTAATAAAGAAAACAGCACACAGGGTAAGAGTGACACACCGGCAAGCGGGGGCACGCTGTGGGTTTTCTTTTTCTTTTTTTCGTCTTCTTCTTCTTCCAGCTCACATGAGGTTGGTGGAGAAGGAAGCCCGGTGGCAGCCGCTGACAGCTGGGTAAAAAGTAGCGCAGCCTGACAAGGAGGCAGGAACGAGGTCGCCTTTAAATGGCACATAATAGCGAGGGGAGGAATATTATTGGGGGAGAACATGCTGACATTTTTATGAGGCGCTGCTGATGAAGCGGCGAGAAATAAACGTCTTCCCCTGACCCATTTTTATGTGGGACAACTTCGGCAGAGACGCGCAAGATTTGTGGATTTTGTGTGGCGGTGCGTGGACTCGAGTTCGGAGATAAATGGAGTGGGGAGACGGCGCTGACTGCTGCCGGGCTCCTTATTCTTAAAAGGCCTTGGGAAAATGTTCGGCTCCCATCGCCGTTCACATTTTCTCATTTTGTCATGCCGAGACCACAAACCCTCCACCTGCTTTGTCAGGAGTTTATGGAACAAACCAAAACAAAGCACTGTGAGGTGGAATTAAAAGGATGGATGGATCTTCTTTTTTTTTTTTTTTTCTCAAATGGCAATCTAAAAAGTGTGGCAAGCACTTGTATGTAGAGCCAATAATCTCATGGTATGTTGCTTAAATTGTAGCTGTAGATTGTTAAGATTGAAGGAGTTTAGGCTGAGATTGGATGCATAGCATAAATTTTTGGATTCGTAGGAGTAATCTGGACTTTGATTAGGCCCTTCCGTTACCTGAATGTGCTTTGATGTACATGCTCATCATGCTCGAAGGCAAACCTCCATCTTTGCCTCGTCTTTTCCCTTATGGCTCTTCTTTCATTGTGGATTAAAGTAATGTGTGATATGTTATCTTGCTATGTTGCTGCAGAGTCCTGTTTTTGTTCAAATTTAACATTTATCCCCATGCAAATAAACAATAATGAATGAACGACTGCAGTACCCTGCAAGATTTTCTTCATGATTGCCCTTTATTCACCTCCTTGAGTGACCTTGAGTATTATGAAAGGTGCGCCTAAATAAATTCTAAAGCTGCTATCGTTACGTAGCCCAAAGAAAGTTTCATTTTGGTTTGATCTGACCAGAACACCTCAGTTGAAAGGTTTTCTGTAGATGTCTATGTCTTTCTGCCAACAGTGACTTTCTGTCTTTCTCACCACTCTGCCATAAAGGCCGGATTTGTGGAGCGCGCGGCTAATAGCTGTCCAGTTAGCAGGTTTTATTTCCTGAGCTGTTGGTCCCTGCAGCTCCTCAAGAGTTGCCGAGGGACGTTTGCTTCTTCTCTGATCAATACTCCCTCTGACCAATGCGCCGGTTTGCGGCGACACCAGGTTGTTTGTGGTTTGGACGTTGTGCAGAAGTCAGACGGGTTTAACTGTGAGACGTTTAAAACCTGGTCATTTCAGTGTTTATCTCTCGTGTTCCTGGTCATTATCCGGCCGTTTGTCCCAATGTGCGCCGACAAAACTGCACGGCCTTCACAGCACGGCTGATTGAAATGAAAAAGCAGCTGGAACTGGTTATTGATGAGGTGTTTGGAAGGGAGCTGGCAGGACTGGGTTTGATTCAGGTGCAAATCCAAATGCAGCTCGGTCTATCACACAAAATCCCAACAAAAAAAATATCTAAGCGTGTGGCTTTAACAAGACAGCTGAAGCTACTTGTGAGCAAGCCACAATATTTCCCCACTTTAATCTATGTGTGCATATGTAGGGGGAAATAAAACGGCTTCAACAGCTGAGGTGTAATCAGTGTGTGCCAAACATCTTTTCCCCTTGCTGAATGGTCTGGTTGTGCACTGAGGCAAAGAGAACCTGCTATTTCCAGTCTCAAATGGCGCTGAAGACATGATATTGATTCACTCTGCGGAGACAGGGCCCTCTCTTTTCTTTTGCCGCTAAAAACCCAGCCAAACGTGAAGGGAACTGTTGCAGTGGTAATCTTTTCAAGATTTGTTCTGCGAGGACAAAAGGAAAAAAAAGGACGCCACGTGTTTCCCGCCCAGCCTCACGGCAAAGTGTCCGGCAGCAAACGGTCCTATCTGCTACCGTCTCCTCAATTTGCATTTAATTACGGCCGCTCTGTTCCACGGAGATTTGCATAACAGGTTGCACTCATCAGGTACACGAACAGAAAGGTAGATAATCAATTAATGCTCTCATCAATCACACACTTGATCTTTAAATGTCACACCCCGCCTCCCGGAAAATCATTACCGTCCAGGTTGCGGATTTCATGACAGCGATGCGACGCGGGGAGGCCCGGGAATAAACAAGGAAGAGAGCAGACAACGTATCAACGCGTGGACCGCAAGAGTCCTGCTTTTTGTCAATCAAACTTTCGCTTACTACCTCCGAGCAGGTACTTCCACCCTTAGAGAGCGGAGCAGACTGACAGCCCACCCACATATGCACACTGGTGGGTGGATTTGTGCCTAATAGAGGCGCAAGCTAACCACACACACACACACAACAACAACA